AAAGGAGCGCAGTGCCATGAAGTGCAGTGCATTATGCGACTGCGCCAGAGGAGAAATGAATGATGCTGGGTGTCAGGGTGTACGAAGGAGGACGAGGAGTGGGAATAGGACGAGGAGGAGGAGGACGAGGAGGAGTAGGACGAGGAGGAGTAGGACGAGGAGGAGTAGGAAGGATGATGAGGAGGAGGAGGAGGAGGAGATTGTCGGTTCTCAGGATTTTCCAGTGTGGGGACAGCGTCGGCACAAAGGTGGAAAGGGGGGGGGAATGCAGAGGGGGAGGTTGAAGGAAATCGCTGGTTCGGATTGGGGAGGCGAAGGGTGATGGGGGGAAGACTCTGCCCTGCTGCGCGTCTGGTCGCCCGGGCGCGGTTTGGTTGCCGTTTCGGGGGAGCGAGTGGGGGAGGAGGGTGACGGAGGGGGGACGGACGGGCGGGCGGGCAAGCGTGCGGGCGGGCGAGCGTGCGGGCGATGGGGGCGGGCGCTCCGGCGCGGCGCGCGGGCGGAGGCGCGCGGGCGGGCGTGCTCGCGGGTGGGCAAGAGGGCGGGCGGGTGCGCGCGGGCGGATGCGCGTTTCGGCGGGCTGGCGGGCGCGCGAGCAGGCGTGGGAGCAGGCGCGGGAGCAGGGGCGCGCGCGCGCGCGAGCTGGCGGGCTGGCGGGCGCGCGGCCGGGCGTCGTCGTCGTCGTTGTCGTCATCGTCAGTGTCGTCGTTATCGTCATTGTCCTCGTCGTCGTCGTTGTCATCGTCAACCGTCGTCGTCATTTCCGTCCGTCGTCGTCCTCATCGGTGCCGTCTTTGTCGTCGTCGTCGTTGTCCGTCCTCCGTCGTCTGTCGTCCGTCGTCCGTCGTTGTCGTCGTCGTTGTCGTCGTCGCTTGTGCTCGCTCGTGTTTTCGTCGTCGTTGTCGTTGTTGTCGTCGTCGTCCGCGTCGGAGCCACGCTCCGAGTAGATTTTGGTGTTCGCCTCCGCGGCGTTGCCACGTCGAGCGCAATAGAGTAATTGTTTTCCGTTCTTCAGTTTTACCACGCGTCGCGCGAGATCGTATTGTATGTTGTTCGTTGGCCTGTCGTTGCCCCGGTTTCAAATGTTTTCGAATGGAGCGGCACTCACTCGGCAGCGTTGCCACGCGGTGAGTCCAGAGGATCACGTGCTTTCGCACCCAGGCGTTGCCACGTGGCGAGTGGAGCGAGATTGCAGAAGTTCGACCCGCGCGGCACTGCCACGTGCTGAGTACAGTGCCGTTTTTAATACATGCTCCGCGTGCGGATCATGTACTAAAAATGCAGGCATTTCGTACTAAAAACCACGACGAGTTCATGCACAAGTTTATTCATGAGTTATTCATGTACTAAAAATCCCAAATGTTAAACCATCACATGTATTAAAAACTGCCCTGTAGAGAGGTGTTATAGTCATTCTTCATCCCACATGTCGTTGCCACGTCTCGAGCGGAGTGGGATAGCGAGTCTGTTTGCTCCTCAGCCTTTGCCACGTGGCGCTGCCGCCTGGCGAGGAGGGTGGAGCAGTATCTGTTTCGCCGTCGTCGTTTGGGCGTGGGGGTGTGAAGTCTTCCAGCTGGGGAGGTTCAGTCAAGGGGGGGTATCCCGCAGGGGTCGAGCGGGGCAAGGGGTGAGGGGGGGGGGGGTCGGCGAAGGTGGCCAGAGGGGCGGGGGTGGGCAGCTGCGGGGATCCCCCCCCCCCTCCTGGCGCGGTCGCCCGTGGCGCGCTCTCTCCGAGGCAGGGCGAGGCATGGGTGCAGCTGGAGGATGCTCGTGGGCCGCGCAGGGCGAGGCAGGGCGAGGCAGACGGTCACCACCCACCAAACCACCCCAACCCAACCCGAAGGCTCAGATTTACCCTCGATTTCCAGTTGGGGGGGGTCGGGAAACATAGAAAAAACACGCGTGGAACCCTTACCCCCCCCAACCCGAAATTCGGGTCTTCGGGTTGGGTTGGGGTGGTCTGGTAGGTAGTCAGACGGGTGCAGGAGAGCTGCGAGGGCAGACGGGGAGGGTGGCAGGGACGAGCAGGTCGTCCCGGGACGGCGTCTGCGCAGGCGGCGGCGTCGATGGCGTCGGGGCTCCGTGGGTCGAGTCTGGGGCTGCCGGGCACGGTGGAATGGGCCTTTGCTGCAGTTTTGGACGCCCGAAATGGGCACGGCAAGAATGGGTACGATGCCCAACGGCAAATGTTGCCCCAAACCAGCAGCGGCCGCTGTTGGGCAGGCGGCCTTCTGTCTCAAATGGACACAGGCCGCGGCGTCGCGGACAGCGAGTCCTGTTCAAAAGGAACAGGAACTGCTGTTGGGCATTGTACCCATTCTTTCCGTACCCATTGCGGGCGTCCAAAGCAGTTTCGGGTTTGACGAAACTCTTCGTGCAGTGCGCGCCCTCCTCTCCCGCCCGCTCTCTGCGGCCGCCCTCCGCCTCCTGCCATCCCTCGTGCAGCTGGGGAAGGAGCACGCCAGGCCCAGGGCCACTGGAGCGCGCGTGTTGATTGCCGCGCTACGGTGGGGAAGCGTAGTTTCGGGTTTGAGTTTTCCAGGGGGTTCGGGCTTCGGGCGTGAGGAGTTATTCCGTTTTTTTTGGGGGGGGGTCAGTGGCACCTCCAGGTCTGAGGTGAACGTTGCCTATGACGTTCGCGGAGGCAACGCCCCCCACCATCCCGCTGCCGCGCGCTCCCCTGTGCTGGCCTGGGTCGTGGGGGCCCTCCACTCCCCCCCTAATTCGGTGCAGGTGGCCTGTCCTGGGCACCGCGCGTCGGCGCCCGCTCGCTCGGTCAGCGCCCGCCAGATAAAAAACATTGTTCGGGTTTGGGTCCTTTCGGTTTTTGGGGTATCGCTGGGGATTTCTAGGGTTTCGCCTCGAGAAGGTTTTGGGTTCGGCTTGCTACCCCTTTGGGCCACACATGGGGGTGCTGCCCAGGGTTCGCGATGAGTTTGTGCAGGCCTTTCAAGCACATGCTCCGTTCTGCTGCAGTCGGCAATGATTTTGTCAGCTTCAGCACCATCGCGATGTAGCAGGCTCAGCACGTTGGTCACACAAGGGGCTGTCGACCAGTGGCGTTGTATTAATCAACTCGGGGCGCCCATCGCGCGTGGGCGTCATAGGCGATACGCTCTTTTCCCTCCCGAATCCTAGTCATTCCCAAGAGCCGCATGGCTTTTGCGATGCCGCACACATTTCATTTTGGCCACACATGGGGGGATCGAACAGGAGTGTGTCGCAACATCGTTTGAGAATAGACGGCGGGAGCCTCTTGGGCAACACGCCTGCTTTGGCCCAGTGTACTACTGTCCTTCCGCAGTGCGATGACAGCGGGGATGTAGCAGGCAGCGCGCCTGGGCGATCCAATGGGGGTTACGACCGAGGGGGTGTTTTACAGCACCGCTCGCGCGCATAATGTGGAACTTATCAGGAGATGCGCTTGTCTTGGCCAATTCCACTGGTGCTTTCCAACAACCCCGCGGCAACAGCAGTGTAGCAGGCGTAGCCTTTTTACTCGTCGGTTCCACTTGCATGTCCAATGTTCACTGCCGACCAGCGGTGTTTCATTGGCCCGTTCGGTTCGCTTTGTGACGGCATCCATGGGGAATCGCGTGTAGCACCGCGATGTAAAAAAAACCGTGGCATTTGAGATCGACCTCGCCGCGTCGGCCAGCGGTGTTTCACAGGCCTGTTCGCGCCAACATTGCAGGGACGCCTCACGCGAACTGCACATTTTGGCACCGTACGGGGGTCCCTTCTTGCAGTTCGCATGGCCACCACGGTGTAGCAGGCAATGCGTTTGAACCACCTGGAGGGGGTGTCGGCCAGGGGTGTCCTATCGGCCCGTCTTTCTCCCGCCGACTGGGCAGGCGAGGCGACGCCCCCCTGTTTAGAGCCACGTGACCAGTGGGATGTCGTAGGCATGACATTTGAATCCCCTTCGGGGGGGTCTCTTTCCACGGGCTCTTTTCCACGGGCCTTTCGGCGCCCACAGTGCGTGGAACTCCTTCGGCAAAGACTAGTCTTCTCTCGGGCCCCTAATCGCCGCGATGTGTCAACATTGCACTTAGGCCACCTAGTGATGTCGACCAAGGGTGCTTCACGGGCCAAGTCGCGCCCAGATTGTGGGGACCTGTCAGGGGGAAAAGGTCCGTTGCGGCACAGTAGACGAGTATGCAAGCAGCGCACCCTAACCACGACGATGCAGCAGGCATAACACTATGGCAGCCCAGGCGCGTGTCGTCCGGGAGTGTTTCACGGATTCGTTTTCAAACAAGCGTGTGTGTGTTGTTTGGATGCTGTTGTGACTAAGCAGCTGATCAGCTTTTGCCGCGTTTCACCACGGAGTGTTCGGGTGACTCGAGTGATGTTGCGGTCGTCCCCTCCCTCTTGCCCCTCTTTCTTTCTCCAAAAATACTGCGCTGGAGAAATAGATGTGTGTGTGCGTGTTTGGAAGAGTTGGCGAGTCTCTTCTTCTCGGAGCCTCATGCTTACCTGGGCAGGCAATGGCATCTGCGCCTTCCAGGCGGGGAGCCGCCCCCTTCGGTTCATACCACGAGCTCGTTTTCGCGGCCAGATCGGGGGGACCGCGCTGGTGCCCAAATTGAAAGGGTCCGAGACAGGAGGGCGCAAACTAGTGCGGAGGGAGGTTGGAGGAGGAAACACCATATAAACATACAGTGGGGGCGCGCGTCAAGAAACCATTATCTGTTCGTCAGGGTACCCTGGGTTTCTTCGCTCCGCGCGCTGCGTGGTGACTCCCCGCGGCCGTCAAAGCACCTGCTGCGTCCAGGGTGCTCCAGGTTTCCCTTCGGGTGCACGTCGCGCGTGGGTTTTCAGGGTTGGCGTTCTTGCGAGGGTTTCTTGCGGCCGCGCCCGCACTGTACAAGAGAAACATATGAGGACGAGGGGGTGACGAGTACATCACCAGCTGCAGTCGGACATCGAGGGCGGCGACGTATATCGAATATGAGCTCCCCTTGGGGATGATGCGGTGAGGGCGGGCCGCGCTGGAGGCCCTCCCTGCAGCCCACGAACAGCGCCATGCCGTTGCCTGCGGTCGACGAGAGTGCGGCCTACGCAGCGCAGGCGAAACAATGATAATGACGATGAGGGACGCGGGCCAGGTGGGCAACGCTTCTGTGGATGAGGAGGAGGAGGAGGAGAAATAGGCGAACACCGCTGGAAGGGTCAGGAGGAGGAGGCGGAAGAATGAGGCGCATGGGGACGATGGGTGGCGGAGACGGAGGCCGAGGTGGAGGTGGAGGCGGAGGCACAGGAGGGGGATGCACATGAGGCATAGTCAGGGAGGGAGGAGGGCGTCTACGGCATAGAGGGCGACGCAACCAACAAAGTCGATAGCAACGACGATGTCGGACATGACGGCGCTGGACGAGACGGAGGAGGAGCATGAGCAGGCAACGCTTTGAAGAGGGAACGGCGCGTGCAGCTAGTGAACACGCCGAGGGTTCCAGGAACGGTCAAGCGAGAGCCCCAGTTTGACAAGAAGCCACCCTTCATCCGTGTAGCCGGTGCGCGCGTTTAAACCTTTTGTCGGTGGGTTTGGGACTGGTTCCCATTTGTGTAACCGTCGCACAGTTTGATACGTGCCGCAATGTTGCCTGTTGCTTCGCCCTTCTACCGCCGCCCCCCCTCCGAGCGCTTGCATGGCTGCGCTTGCTCGATTGGTCAGTCTGTGGACCTGCCGGTTGGCTGGCTGGCAGCGCTAGTGGTCGGAGTGGTGTTTGAACATTTGTAGTACCTTTGAGTCGGGCCTGTCCCTCTACAGGATGAATATTCAAACATAGTCAAAACATAGTATGGGGACGATGTTTGGACTATTTTTCAGCATTTTGGAAGTATTTCCCTACCTAGGCTCTGCCTAGAAGGGTTCTTACTCTCTTGGCTTAAAGGGCCGGGCAGTGGGAACCGGCCCAGGCGGTTCCCCTAGTATCCGCCCCGCGGTTCCCCCAGTTACGTCCCCTTAGCTTAGCGTTGCTTATCTCATCTTAGCTTAGCTTATTTCATCTTAGCTTAGCTTAGCTTCATGTTAGCTCAGGTATCTTAGCTTAGTTTATCTTCATATTAGCTTCGCTGAGCTTTAGCAGAGCACAGCATAGCGTAGCGTAGCATAGCATAGCGCAGCATAGCATATCATAGCATAGCCAAGCTTAGCATAGCATAGCGCAGCATAGCATAGCATAGCATGGCATAGCATAGCGCAGCACAGCACAGCACAGCACAGCATAGCACAGCGCAGCATAGCAGAGCAGAGCAGAGCAGAGCAGAGCAGAGCACGGCATAGCATAGCATAGCATAGCAACTGATGCTGCTTTCCTAGGGGCTCCAACTTCTGGGTTATTAGGGTCGCACTGGGGTAATTTCTTAGTATTGCTTGTTTTTCGCCCACAGCCCCCCTGTAGGGGGACAGGCCCGACCTAATAGTGCCTGAGGAGTGCGGGATGCCGGCCTCGGGAGCGCGCGCTTAATCAAAGTTTCGAGCGTTCGCGGCCTCGGGCGCGCGAGGCCCTCGCACACTCTCTCGCTCGGTGAGAAGCTGCTCCGGGTCCGGCGCGGAGGTTTCCGGAAGCGGCGCGGAAGCTCAGTCTCTTTTATCCGATCCCCATCCCCATCCCCATCCCATTCGAGACCCCCACCAAATTACCACCCCAGTTGGGGATGCACCCCTCGAAACCCGACGGGGACGGCCTGTATCCCCATGTAGGGGGGTTCATCGGCCAGGGGGGCCCAGGCCACGCCACTGAGGATGGGGATCGGTTCAACGATATGCAGAAGCCGAAAGCTCCCCTGCGCCCGGAAGCCCCAAGCTGACGGTTTGGCATCGCTCGGACGTGTGCATTTTTCCTTCGACGAGGACCATCGAGGAGCATCCTTGATCATGTGGCGAAAAAACCACGCACGAAACCAAACAAAAACAGGGAATGGACGTCCGAGCGATGGCCAGACGAGTGCAGAGTTCCTGACCTGGGGAAGGGGTGCCGCTTCTGGGCAGCCTCCGTGGGCTGGGTTCGTTCCGCAGGAGTGCACATTCGTGGTGCATGCCCTATGGATGGCGGTCTCGGGGGCGCGAGTCCACTGCAGTGTGTTGGGGGCTGTGACCTCGGGAGCACGTGTGCGCCGTCATTCGGGTGGAATGTGGCTTCGGGGTCACACGGGATTGTGGCCTCGGGAGCGCGAGTATGTTGTATGTAGCACCCCGCAGGTGGGGCGGTGGCCGGGTCGGGCATGTGGTTTGTTTCGGAGAAGTGTGGGGGGGCGGGCGCTGTTTGGGTCGCAGGTGGGTCGCGGGCCGGGTCGCGGGTGGGACGACGACAACAACGCAAAGCAACGCAACGCAATAGCAGTCCGCACCGCGGAACCCCACTTCGCCCACGCACCCACGGACAGTGACTGACCGTTCGGCCCCCTTTCTAATTTGGTTGGTGTCCCAGGGCGCCCCCCATGGATTCTGAGAACCCCCAGCCGGAGTGGTAGTGGGACGATCTTCGCGAGTTGTTCCACGGTTGGGAGCTGAGCACGTTGCATGGCCATGGATCAGCAGCACTTCCGCACCGCAGCCTATGGGCCCCCAAGGATCCAGCGAATTTCCAGGTGGTCCAGCGGATTTCCAGGACGTCTCAAGCGACCACCCATTTTTGATCGAACCGCCCTCTGGTGTGACTGCCGCATGGCTTCAGGACAGCTGCGCACGTTGCTCAGACGATACCCGCAAAAAAGGCGTGCTCTCCAACCATCTGGCTGTTGCAAGGTTTTGCGACGAGATTGCGTGGCGCTACGGCGAGAGCCACTTGAACACGACTTGCCCTTTAACCGTGTAAGTGTTGCAAGGGTTTATGCACATGTGCGCCTTGCCTGGGGCAACCACCCCAGGTTGAACACCACCATCTCCACCAGTGTATCTGTTTGGAATTGTTGGGTCTCAGGCGAAACGCCAAGCCCCATACCGATTCGTCTATTGGCTCTACGGTCATATATTGGTTTGGAGGGAGGGGCGTTGGGGAGCAGGCGGAGGAGGTCGAACATATGGGAGTGCAGTATGTCGAAGAAGGGGGCGAGAAGGAGGAGAAGGAATTGGCGGAGGAGTAGGCGGATGATAGGACGAACGGATAATGGTGAACAGGGGAGCGCGAGAAGGATGGCGATGATGATGACGGCGAGACCAAGAATGAGATCGGGAGTGTGTGGGCTGTGTGGGGGGGCGTTTGGTCGTGAGTGCGTGCGAAGCGTGGCTTTCTGTTGTCGTGGGGTCCTGCGTGGCGGAGGTGGGAACACGGAGCGTGTAGTAGTTAGGAGGGAGCAGGGGTGAATAAACAAGCATTTGCGAATACAGCGTGGCATCTACCCCGCCCTCTCATCTTCCTTCGCCGCACAGTCGTCCACCTTGTCGGGGTCTCGCAGTCAGCCAGCGGCGTCCCCCAGCGGGGCTGGAAGCTATGACTTGTCTTACCCGTATCTCGTTTCTTGTCTTGTCATTGCCTCTCTTCCCCCGGAGCTTGTTTGGTAGGCATCAGCCGGCAAACGGTGTGGTGACCACACCGAGTGGCGAGTCAGTGGGGATTTTGTGTGAGCGTGCGGTTCGAAAAATTGAGCCGTTATGCGAGGATGTCTCGGGCGACTGTGGCCTCCAGATTCCAAAAACCGTGCGGTGACGGACCGTGCGGTAAGATTATTTGGCATGTTGAGGTCACCGCGCGGTTTTTCGCAACACTGTCTCTTGGCATCACTCGGACGTGTGCATTTTTCCTTCGGCGAGGACCATCGAGGAGTATCCTCGATCATTTGGCGAAAATTCCACGCACGAAACCGACAAAAAAACGCAGGGAATGGACGTCCGAGCGATGGCCAGGTCTTGGGACCCCCCCAGTTCTCTCTCCTCCCTCTGGGGCCTGTGCTTTGGTGGGCACCTGCCGACGGGCGCAGCCGCCGGCAGTCTGCACACTCCTGGCAGGCGTCTCGCCCGGGCCTCGGGAGGCCGCTCGGCACGAGGGTCGCCCCACCCTCCTCCCCCCCCCCCCCTCCCCTCCCCCTCCCCTCCCCCCCCTGAGGGAACGCCTCCCCCTCCTCCTCCTCCTCCTCCTCCTCTCCTCCTCCTCCTCCTCTCCTCCTCCTCCTCCTCCTCCTCTTCCTCCTCCTCCTCCTCCTCCTCCTCCTCCTCCTCCTCTCTCCTCCTCCTCCTCCTCCTCCTCCTCTCCTCCTCCTCCTCCTCCTCCTCCTCCTCCTCCCTCCTCCTCCTCCCCCTCCCCCCCCTGAGGGAACGCCCCGGCCAGACGACCTTCGACGAGAAATGGGGGGAGGGAGGAAGAAGATGAGGAGGAAGTGAAGGAGGTGGAGGAGGAGGAGGAGGAGGAGGAGGAGGAGGAGGAGGAGAGAAGAGGAAACCCAGGAGGAGGAGGAGGAGGAGGAGGAAGAGAGAAGAGGAGACGGAGGAGGAGGAGCAGGAGGAGGAGGAGGAGGCATCAACCGATGTGCAGCTCGCATGCACCACAAGGAGTTACGCGAGGCCTCCAAGGGGAAATCTGAGTCCCTTCAACTCCGCCTGGACAGAGAGCAAAAAGGCTCAAGACGGCCTTGACATGTCCTGAGCGCGTGAGCCTCCCGCCACACGACGAAGCTCCACCCCTGTGGTACGAAGGCAGCTCGAGGCATGATGGACGGCACTGCGCGGCCAGGACACCCGCGAAATCAGCACAGCTCCTTGAATCCATCGGCGCCCGGACGATTGCCGAGGAACGCGGGCAACAGTGCACCATAATGGATTCAGAGGTTGCGGGTCGTGAGGCCAGCCACATGTTTTCAAGGACCAGGAGAGGAAAAAAGGTGGGAGGAGGAGGAGGAGGAGGAGAAGGAGGAGGAGGAGGAGGAGGAAAGGGAGGAGGAGGAGGAGGAAAGGGGGGAGGAGGAGGAGGAGGAGGAGGAGGAGGAGGAGGAGGAGGAGGAGGAGGCACTGGGGGGATGGGGAGGAGGAGGGGGGGGAAGGGAGCTCGAGAGACTCGAGACGGGGCGGGGCCCGCGATCGGGCGTCAGGTCTCAGAAGAGGAGACGTCACGATCGGCGAGACGATGGCGACACGACGGTGAAACTGGCGGCGACCCGCATTTGCCAGGCGATCGAAAACGTGGTTCAAAGGGGCGTGGATTAGCGACGGGTCCCGTTTCCACGGGAAATCGCGGATTTCCGCCGCCGAACGAGGCGGCACCAGCGGCATTTTGGGGAGGGCACCTCCCACCGATCCATGTTGGCGCGCCCCCGATAGCAGCGACCCGCATTTGGAGGGAGGTTCAGGCGTGGTTGCCGCATCGGATCCTGGCCAATTGCAAGTGCTGAAGGATTGTTACAGTCCCGAGATCTGCATCTGTACGCAGACCTGCCATTCAGAGGTCTAGCCGACGTTCAGTTACATCAGCCTGCGCTCTCTTTGGGGCATTGCGGCATACCTGCTGCAGCGTGTGATAATTACTTAGAGGCATTGCAGTGCCCGCACACTCGGCATAATATGCGTTGGCCAGAGGTTTTGAGCATATGTCCGAAGCCCTCTAGAGCTTCACATTCAGCACCTGCGAGGCTGAATGGATCACGCCTGGATGCCTGGCCTGCTACACATCGATACTTCTACTATCCTCATCCCAATCTCCACCCTCCTGATAGCCAACACCATCCCGCATCCGACATCGCGGCTACGAGAAAGTAGGTGGGGAGGAAGGGGGACAGAGCAGACGAGTCAAGGCCGATGCAGGGCAGGGCGAGCTCAGAGGGCGAGGTGCTACCTTAAATTGTCCTTGCCGCCATCGAAGGGATGATTGTTGTCAGCATGACCCTCCACCGCCCCGAGGTACTAAAGACTTTGGGCCATATCTTCCATCTCGAAAGCCACACAAGCGCGAAGCCCTGGAGGCAGGACGTTACGCTTCGGCCTCGGCTTTTTCGCATGCCACGCTGCCGACGCCGCAACCGATGGCTGATGGCCCCAGCAGCCTGCAACTGGCTGTAGACGTCGGTGCCCATCCGATGCTGCATCGCCGACTTGCCAGCGCGTGTCTGTTGACGCCCAGGCCTCACTACCCGAAGGCGTCGGGCTCCACCAGCAAGCTCCAGTCGCCGAGGTCGTCGGGCACGCGACCCGGGTGGCAGCCGCGCCGCAGCGTGGAGTTGGCCGCCCGCATGGGCGTTGGGCTCCGTGAGCGCGCCGACCTCGCCGTCGAGCTGCTGCTCGCCTCTCTCCTGATCCTCACCACCCACCAAACCACCCCAACCAAACCCGAAGGCTCAGATTTACCCTCGATTTCCAGAGGGGGGGGGGGGGGGATCGGGAAACATCGGAAAAACACATGTGGAACCCTTATGTACCCCCCCCCAACCCGAAATTCGGGACTTCTTGTTGGGTTGGGGTGGTCTGGTAGGTACGCAATGAGCGCGCCGACCTCGCCATCGAACTGCTGCTCGCCTCTCTCCTGATCCGGCGCCGTTGACGTCGCTGGCAGGCGCCGCCTCGGCACGCGGTCGGCAGTGGGGCCCCGCACGGCTCGGGGGACACCCTTGCTGCCGCGGCGCTCTCGCCCGGCTCTGGGGCCTGGGGATGCTCACAGGTCGATGCGGCTCGCAGATTGCTGCGACAGGATGGGGCCTCGAGGGCTCCAGTCGTGAGTGTTGTTCGCGACGTCGACTTTCTCTCGGCGAGGTTGGGTCTCATGGGCAGTTGGCCCTCGGGGAAGCACCCCCTGGCCCCTTTCTGCGCACCCGATTGGGACTGCCGTTGTCTCAGTTCGCCCTGCTCCGAGTCGCGCAGGTGCGCTCGCCGTTGCTGGGCCGCGGCGCAGAGGGCCGCCGCCTCGTCGTGCCGCCCGTGGCGAGGGAGGGCGTCCGGCAGCCCAGTCCGCGCGGCCTGCCGTAGGTCAGCGCTCCGGAACTCCGGCCCAGATGGCTACGGAGGGGAGGGAGAGGGGGGTCAGAGGAGGAGGATTTGAACAGAGGAGGAGGAGCAGAGGAGGAGGAGGAGGAGGAGGAGGAGGAGGAGGAGGAGGAGGAGGAGGAGGAGGAAGAGGAGGAGGAGGAGGAGGACCACGGGGAGCATGGGACGGAGGATGAGGAGGAGGATGAGGAGGAGGAGGAGCAGGAGGAGGAGGAGGGAGGAGGGAGCAGGGAGGAGGAGGGGTGGAGCGGATGGATGAGTAGTAGGGGATTGGGGAAGCGCGAAGCCAAGCGAGCCCGAGCCGGGCATAAGCCCTGGAACACCCCTTCGTCCTTGCACTCCCTTGCTGGTCGCCATCCTTGTCCCCGTCACTCGCCGTCCTGCTCCGCCCTATCCACAACCACACACCCCTGAACACGCGCGTATTATCCCGCCTCTTTCGCAGATTGTTTTCAACCATTCGGTCCCTCCAACCTGGTGTCCCCCCTGTCGAGTCAGCATGGCGCTCTGCCCCAAGCGCGGGCCTCATTTCAGGATCCGATGTTTCTCGTCTTTTCTGCACCCTCCTTTCCCCTATTCCCACGTTCCCCTCACCCTCCGCAGGCCGCAACCTGCAATTGCCACTGGGGCATCAAGGCCCTCTAGGACACTCCAGTCCGCGGATAGAACGGGAGCCACCGCAATTGGAAGGGATGGGTAGGAGGGGTATGATGTCAACAACTTGCCATTCCGTCCATTCCCATCCGCCACTATCCGCTGCATTTTCCCGTTCGTGCGTTCTCCTTTTGTACTCCCTTTCTCCTCTTCGCCCTCCTCCCGCCTGCTTTCCATCCACTGTCCTCCCCCGCCCCCTCCTGCCAATTGTCCCATTCCCATTTTCTGGTCCCTGCATCCTTCCCCCTCCGCTGGCTCTGACCACCCCCTCCTCCCTCCTCGTCACCGTTCTCCCTCGTCCCGCTCCTGCTGCTCAGCCGCTTCCCTCTCTCGACTTGTCCTTCTCCAGATTCCTCCTCCCCTTCCTCCTGGGGGCATTCGTTTGATCCTCGTTTCGCTGATGGCACACTTCCCCCAAACTGTCCAAACGCCTGAGGGGCAGTTCGTGTTATCCCGGAAGGGGGGGGGGCATTGACACGGATCGACCGATACATTCGTTTCCTCCGCCCGACCAGCAGGGCGTATCTACATATTCTGGGCACAGGATGAGCCTGCGTGTGGGCAGTTTGAGTCCCCTTGCGTGATCGGGCTGGGCCTCCTGGACAATTCTGCCCGCTGCCTTGCTATCCTGCTCCCGCCGGCGCGATCAGTCGATGCCGCAGCTGCGGAGAAGCCAGATATTCTCCAAGAAGCGCGTGTCCGTGATCGACCAGGTGCACACCGCTAAGGAGGCCCGCGACAAAGGGGAGACGATATGCGCGGGCAGAGCAGCGGGGTGCTAAGCAGGTAAGGTCGGCGCTGAGTGGCGACGATGTCGGGTGTGGCAATGCCTGGACGACACGGGGGCCAGCAAGCTCCTATTCCTGATGGCTGCCTAGTACCACACGTAGTGATTGCGACCACGCTGCCAGATCTAGGATCAATGTGCTCAACGGCGAAGCGGATATTCGTGTCGGACGGCACAAGAAGGTTCGGTATCGTCGGCAAAATAATGGCACCCATTACCAGACGACGTTGCGGGGGCGTTCTTCCACATTGATCGGTCGCAATATCTAGCTTCCCGTTTTCACATGAGTTGATACCGTGCGCCGCATCTAGTATGTATCTCGTGCGTGCTATTGGAAGCCGTTGCACGCGCAACTGGGGTTTCAGTATTCTGCTGCGCTATTGGTACAGGCCTCGGAACAAACTAGCGAACACTCACGCCACATTCATCCGTCAACGCCTACCCCTCCCCCCATTGTGTTTGGGGGGGGGGGCGGGGGAGTGGTCAGTCATTGTTTCACTCTGCCGTATCCCAGGGGCTGCAATGCTGGAGCCAGGCAGGTACCAACGGCTGCTGGCGATGCTCGCCTCGTGGGCCGCCCTCCAAAGCCTCCAAGACGGCCCAGGAATCGCCAAAGGGGGCCCCAGGACCGTCTTCGGGGCCGTCTTTTACCAGCCTCGATCTTATCCCTATCCTTAAGATTAAGACACGCCCTCAAAAAGAAGGAAATCCCTAAGATTGGCATCGTGATGAGGAGATGCCCAGCACAGGGATAGGGATATGTTCCAGACTGGTAAGTCTTGGGACATGTTGGAAGTGCATGTCTCCAACAATGCGCGCCTGGCCCCTGGAGCAGCCGCGCGGGCAACCCAGTCCGCCGCAGCAGACGCATCCGATCTGGCGGCCTGGCAACAAGACTTGCTGCGTACTGCTTTGTGGTAGGAGGCATTGCGCAGCGGCTCTGCCGGAATGTCTACTATTTGTAAGGCTCAGCAGCTTATCAGGACACTGCATCGGGTTATGAGGCCATCTCAGGGACATTTCAGTTGTATGAGGAAGGGGCCATGATGCAATCTGTCACAGCAGGGATACACATACCATAAGCTCCCATTGGGAAGCGGCGGACAGCCGCTTCTCGAAGCGGAGTTTATCAATGACCTACAGGAAACAGTTGAAGCCTTGTACCAATGTCGGGCAGCCGGATCTCACATACAAGCATGTAAGTAGGTTCGTCTGAAATTGGAATTCATTCCGAGGCTGTGAATACCAGCTAGTTCGTCGTTGTTTAGTTCTGTCTGTCCCCATGTGTTTTTGCTCTAAGTTATGTTGGCAGGGCTTTTCGTCCAGTAACCTTGCAATTCGATGTATTATTTGCGATGCCGTTGTGCATTTTTACGCCGCGCATCTTTGTGGTATGCCGCTGCAAAGCAGCGTATGTAACCTTACCCGCAGACTTCGCTTATAAGGCCACCTCACACATAAAATCGTTGTAAAAGGCGCGGCGCACAGGCATTCCTGTTGCACGGCCGTTGCATCAGGAATCCTGTTACAATGCAGTTCAATTCGAGTGTGCGCAGCGGAAGCTACAGCAGGCTAGCAGGATAGGGCACGTGGGTGTACGAGAAAGAGAGAAGGAGAGGCACACACACATATATAGATATAGAGAGAGGTTGTTTGTTGCATATAGAAAGAGAGAGAGAGAGAGAGAGAGAGAGAGGGAGAGAACATGTGACAGAGAGAGAGAGAGAGAGCGATATAGCAAGCAAGCAAGCAAGGAAGCAACCAATAGCACAGCAAAGCAACCACTCTCACATGTATATAAATTAATACACATATGAAGTTATATGTGAAAACATGTGAAACAGACACGGGCTGTCACGAATGCGTATGACACGAAGTTCAGCGCCGTCGTAGCACACTTGCTGCACATCTGCATGTTCCAGGGCACGGGTCTAAAACCTCAGCCCGTTATCTTCCACCCAACCATTTTTCACCCATTCCGTGCGTCGCATCATTTTCGTCGTTCTCATCCTCCCCCTCCCCCTCCACCAACCACCCTTCTCCTCCCTTCCCGTATTTTTGTTCGCCTTGCTCCCCCCCTCCCCCCAATATTTCCCCCGTCCTTTTCTCCTTGCTCCCCCCTTTTATTCCCCTCCCATCCCTTCCTGCTGATTATCCTCTTCCTCCTCCTCCTCACCCTCCTCCTTTTCCCCTCCCTTCAACTCCCAGCTGCAATTGAGATTGCAGCCCCAAGGGCTGGCGGGCACCGGGACCGTAGCACGCAACTTTCGCTGCGGCCGTTCCCTTCAGGTTCGCCTTCGCGCGCGCACGCACCTTACCTCATGCTGTGTTGTTTCCTCTTACTGTGCGCGTCGTACTTGGCATGTTCACATACGTTCACTGGAACTGCCAGCGCACGGAAACCGAGCGATTGTATGATATCTCGATGGGTCATAATGGCAGACATAAAGACACTTTCATGCATTGGGGGGAGAGCGGCGCCCGATCGCTTGGCGATGATTCGGGATCGAAGTGCCGTTTCGTGGTGCGCGGCGGGTTCGCACCCGGACGGCGTGTCAACAAACTCTGTGGCATTGCTTCGTTGCTGCGCAAGCGGGCGTGCAAGCGGCGCGATGTGGCGGGCGCCCCCGCTGTCCCAACTGCCCTGCAAGGGCGCGTCGCAGCGTTTCCGTTGAGATCTGGCCGGTTCGACGCGGTGATTCTTGCGTTGCTCTTCCCCCAGCGGCCGAGCGCGCGTCGAGAGGGTCGCGAGTAATGTTCAAAACCTGTTCACAAAATGATGACCCCCCCCCGCGGATCCCGAGCGTCAGTAATACGCCGGCGGATACTGTGTCCCCGTGGAAAGTATTCAACGGAGAGCGAACATACGTGAGTATTGTAAACATTGAAACGCACACGCATGCGCCGCGTGCGCGGCAGCCTTGCCCCTCGCCCACTGGCACGTTTTCCCACGCAGTGTACCAGGGCCGCCGCGCGCGCGGCGGCCCTGGCCCCTCGCGCATTGTGTCTTTGCATGCAAGATGCGCGTGGGCCCGCGTGCGCGCGGCGGCCTATGGCCCATAATGTTTTTCCCGTGCAAGGTGCGCGTGGGCCGCCGCGCGCGCGGCGGCCCTGGTCCCTCTCGCGGTGTTGTGTGTTTTTCCATGCTGGATGCGCGTGGGCCGCCGCTTGCGCGCGCCGGCCCTGTTCCCCTCGCGCATGGTGCTTTGTCCATATAAGAGGCGCGTGGGCCATCGCTCGCGCGGCGGCCCATGACACCTCGCGCAGTGCGTGCTTCCGTACAAATGCTCGTGGGCCGCCGTACGCGCGGCTGCCTTGGCCACTCGCGCATTCAGTTTTTCAATGCAGGATGCGCCATCGCGCATTGTGGTTTTGCATATCAGATGCGCATGCGCATTGTGTTTTTTTTGTCCGTGCAAGACGCTCGTGGACCGCCGCGCGCGGCAGCCCATTGATTGCCCCTCGCGCGTTGCGTTTTTCCATGCAAGGTGCGGGTGAGCCGCCGCCCGCGCGGCGGCCCATGGCCCCGCGCGCGTTGTGGCTTCCACGCAAGACGCGCGTGGGCTGCCGCGCGCGCGGCGGCCCTTGGCGCCTCGCGCAATCTGGTTTTTCCGTGCAAGGTGCGCGTGGGCCGCCGCGCGCGCGGCGGCCCATGGCCCTTCGCGCGTTGCGTTTTAAATTTGAAGATACCGGCGGACCATGGCCCCTTCGCGCGATGTTTTTTCGTGCACGATGCACGTGGGCCGCCGCGCGCGCGGCGGCCTTGCTCGGCGGCCAGTTGCCATTCGCGCACTGCTTGCTGCCATTCAAGATGCGCGTGGGCCGCCGCGCGCGCGGCAGCCCATTGGCTTTCGCGCATTGCGCTTTTCCATGCTAGATGCGCGTGGGCCGCCGCGCCCGCGGCGGCCCTGGCCCTCCGCGCATTTTGCGTTTGCCGTGCAAGATGCGCGTGGGCAACCGCGCGTGCGGCGGCCGGCCCCCCTCGCGCGCTGTTTTCCCGTGCAAGATGCGCGTGGGCGCGGCCTGGCCCCTCGCGCACTGTGCGCTCCAGTGGAAGATGCGCGTGCGCCGCCGCGCGTGCGGCGGTCCATGGCACACTCGCGCGTTGTGCATGTCCATGCAAGGTGCGCCTGGGCCATCGTTCGCGCGGTGGCCCGGGCCCCTCGCGCATTGCCTTTTCCAGTGCAAGATGCGGGCGGCGGCCTTTGCCCCCCCCCTCGCGCATTGCGTTTGTCATTCAATGCTCGCGCGGGCCATGGCGCGCGCAGCGGCCCTTGGCGCTTCGCCCATCGTGTTCTGTCCGTACAACGCGCGCATCTCGCATGGGAGAACGCAATGCGCGAGGGGCCATGGGCCGCGGCGCGCGCGGCGGCTCTCGCGCCTCGCGCATTACTTCTGTCCATGCAAGATGCGCGTGGGCCGCCGCGCGCGCGGCGGCCCTCAATCGGAAAGTCGCCATGCTGGCCTGCGAACTCAAGTGAACCCGCAGCGTTTGCCGATTTGCGATCCAACGAAATATACGGTCTTTACGTTTTCGTTTATCGGCGCGGCCCACAGTGCGCCGACGCGCCCGCGCGCGCGGCGGTCTCTACGTTTTCGTCCATTGGTGCAGCCGACATTGCGCCGACGCGCGCGTTCGCGTGGGGGTTTTTCTTTTTTCCGCAGTAGGAATGTTGCCGCGTTGGCCTGCGAACTGAAGCGAACCTTCTTTGGGCGGTTGCCGCCCGGGCTTCCAAGTTGGAGTGCGGTTTTTGCACATTCGTCTACCGGTGCATCCAGCAGTGTGCCGACGCGCGCGGAGACGCGGCTCCGACGGCCGCGCCGGAGCCGGCGCCGGTCGCAGCAGCTCCGGCAGGGAGGCCCGGCGCCGGCTCTGGCGCTACCGGAGCTGCGGCGGAGGAGGCAGCGGCTCCAGCGCCTCCGGCAGCGACGGCGGCCCCGAGCGTTCCGCCGACCCCGGCCGCCCCCCGTCCTCCCTGCCCCATCCATCCCTTGTCCTCCCCCTCTCCCCCCCTTTTTCCGCGTCCCCCAGCTCCCCCTTTTCCACTTTCATCTCCCACCCCCCCCGCCGCCCGCGGAAGGACGACGACGCTCCCGCCAGACCGGCCAGCGCGTGGGAGGACGCGGGCACCCCAGCGCCGCGACTCGCGCCGCCGCCCGCGGCCAGAGGGCGTCACCGTCCGGGCGGGGTAAGGGGAAGAGTCGCCGCCACCTCATGGGATCGAAATGGGTATGGTATGGAAAGAATAATGAGCAATCGGCGGAAGAAACAGGCACCCATACCTCTACCCTTGCTTCGTTTCCCCCTTCGCCGCCGATGTATTCGCCTCGAGAAGTTGTGGTCAGAACGCACCCTGGGAGAGGTCCGGGGGGCAGCGGTATCGGTGCCTGCTGGGTTCCGCAGGGGCCGACCGCATTGCCCGTTCATTTTGAACAGGATTCGGCCGCTGTCGGTTGGGCACGGACTCGGCTCGCCGGGGTTCGTTTCGCCGGGATTCGTTTCGCCCGGGCTCGCTTCGCATGGCGGGCGAACCCTCTGGTCGGGTCGGGCGGGCGAACCCTAAGGGCCAGGTCGAGCGGGCGGGACGTCCACCTATAATGCGGCATTGGCCCAGACAAGCGACGTCCTGATGTTTTCAGGACGCCGTCTTTGGAACTCCAGACCCTTCCCCGGTCCTGGTTCTTCATCTGCAATTGTTTGTTGACGGTCCCGAGGTGTGGCGAAGGCCCCCCGAGCCCTGATTTGTTCTACGACGCGATCGTGTCTGGGGAGGCACCACGCGCGGATCCTGACGGTCGGGCCGGCGGGGCGGGCGGGCGCATCTTGACGGTCCGGTCGTGTGGCGCGGGCGCCCCCGGCGGGCGCGAGGGGGCGAGCGGGCGGCCACCGCCCAGGCGAGGCGACCGGGGCCCCGGAGCCGGGCGAGCCGAGCCACCGGCTGCGGGCGGACCGACCCAGAGATCCCACGCACTGGAACAAAAATCAAGGCCAGGGCTTTTTGTATTTTTCGGCCTCTATAGGGGCCCTCGCCGGGCCCCGGGACCGTCAGAAAACGACTCGGGATGAGAACGTAGTCCTGGGGAAAGGGTCGGAACTTCCGGGGGCCCCGCATTGACACAGTCACTAGATCGGATCTCTGGGGAGCCAGGCGAATCGAGGCGGTCGAGCCGAGCCTGGGCAGTTCGAGTCAGGCGAGTCCGGTCGGGCGAGTCGAGCCCGACCTGGGCGATTCGACGCCTGGGCGAACCGAGCTGGTCGAATCGAGCCTTGGCGAAGCGGACTCGGGCGAATTGAGCCAGGGGAGTGGGGATTCGGATCAAGCTTACGTCGTCGGTTTCAGACAACTTGTGTCGTTGGGCATCGTGCCCATAGGGGTCCGTACCCCTGTCTGGGTTCCAAGCTTGCTGGGCTCTGCCCCCCTCCATTTTACCTTTCACCTTGCATCTTCGGGGGGGTCGTCTGTCCCCGAAACCTCTTTTTCCGTCCTGCGCGGGCTCGATGCGGACTCGACGCAGATCTGGCGTCGATTCGACGCGGATTCGGCATGGATTCGACGCGGACTCGACGAGTCCGACATGGATTCCTCGCGAATTCGATGCGGATAGGGGCGCGACGGTACAGACACGCCCCTCGAAGTGCAACGTAAGTTGCTGTTCCCCACCTTCCTCCACTCTTCCTCCCTGGTCTCTCATCGCCTCCCGTCTTCTTGGGGCTCTCGGGTGGCAGGTGGATCTTCCTCGTTACAGTAGTCGCTGTCCAGACTGAAGGCTTTTGCTGGCGGTTGACTCTTTGCCCTGTTGCCAGGCGGCGTGCGCCAACGGCCCCACAAAAAGCAAGAGTAACAGGGAGTGCGCGTTTGCGAAGCCCTCGGCAAGCTGGAATCCTCCCTCCTCGTTCTCCGGCTAACAGCGAAAGGTCTTTAGTTTGGTCTCCTTCCTACTCTCTCTATTGACGGTGAGTAGGACTGGTCCCAAAACCTCCTCCTCCTTTCTCGTTCCTCCTCCTCCTTCTCATCCTCATGCTCCTCCTCCGATTACAATCGATTGGATTGCAGGGGAGGGACAGGACGGAAGGGAGGGAGGGGAGGAGATGGAGGGGAGGGAGGGGAGGGAACGAAGGGTGGGGAGGGAGGGGAGGGAGGGGGGGAGGGGGATTGCAGCGGAATGGATTGCAATCGATTGGATCGCAATCGATTGCAGTGTAATCGATTGGATTGGAACCCGTACTCTCGATCGTCGCTCCTTGATCGTCTATCGTCCAGTCTCGATCGTCGACTGTTGATTTTGGATCGTCGTCGAAAAGGAGGGCGGGGGCTCTGGGGGCTGGATGGGACAAGGGCTGGGAAGCTCCCCCCTCTTGGGAAAAGGGGGGGGGCGTCCAACAGGGCAGAGGGAGGGGGCCCTTGGAAAGGGGGGGGGAGGGGGGGGGGGGAATGTAGCTTCAAGGGCGGCCCAAGGGGGGAGGGGGGGGTGATAGTTTCCGGGGCGGCCAAGGGGAGGGAGGGGGAGGGAGCTTCCAACACCCCCCCCTTTGTGAGGGGGGGGGGCGGGGGGGGGGCTTCCAACAAGGGCGGCTCAAGGGAAGAGGGGGATAGCTTAAGCCAAGCTCTCCCCCCCCCTTTTGCTCGGTCGCTGTGAACACGTTCGCTCCTCCGTGCGATGTGCTGCCTGAGCCCTTCCTGTGCCCCCCTCTCCGTGGCCTCACACCACGTGCAGCAGAGCGCTGGCGTCGGAGGCGGCTCGGGCTGGAGGAAGTGAGCAGGGTCGTGATGGGCCTGTTTTCCACAACCACCACTATAAGTTGGATGGGGGGGAGGAGGACGAAGAGCAGGATGATGATGATGATGAGGAGGAGGAGGAGGAGGAGAAGGAGGAGGAGGACCCCCTCCCCGTCCAGGTTATGATGCTGGTAGTGGAAAACAGGCCCATCAGGGTCGGTGATAGTTACTGGGGCACATGCACGTCTCGCGACCTGGCAAATCCTGCCTCTGGCTGGTGCTTCTGCTTGGAGTGTAATTCCCAGGCTGCGAAGTCATATGTTGGATCTGGATCTGGCATGGTACGCAAGGCGTGGTGTATTTGCACAGGCCATATGAGATCTTCTAGAACCATGTGTAACCAAGAGTCCTTGGTGTTGTGCGTAGTATGGCATACGTGCGTGATGAGGCCTCTCAGAGTTGGGGTTCTTTGATGCATTAGCCTTCCAAGAAGCCTGAGGCGATGCGCCTTGATTACGTCCGTGATAATGGCAGGAAGGAAGGGGGGAGGGGAGGAGGAGGAGGAGGAGGAGGAGGAGGAGGAGGAGGAGGAGGAGGAGGAGGAGGAGGAGGAGGAGGAGGCGGAGGAGGCGGAGGAGGAGGAGGAGGAGGAGGAGGAGGAGAGGAGGAGGAGGAGGAGGAGGAGGAGGAGGGAGGAGGGGGGAGGAGGAGGGGGAGGGGGAGGGGGAGGGGGAGGGGGAGGGGGAGGGGGAGGGGGAGGGGGCGGGGGAGGGGAGGGGGGGGGAGGGGGGAGGGGGAGGGGGAGGGGGGGGGAGGGGGAGGGGAGGGAGGAGGAGGAGGAGGAGGAGGAGGAGGAGGAGGAGGAGGAGGAGGAGGAGGAGGAGGAGGAGGAGGAGGAGGAGGAGGAGGAGGAGGAGGAGGAGGAGAGAGGAGGAGGAGGAGGGGAGGGGGAGGAGGGAGGAGAAGGAGGAGGAGGGCCCCGCGGCAGCGGCGCGGTGGAATCCGCGCCGCAGGACACGCTGCCGGGCCGGCTCGCCATGCCGCAGCAGGTCGGCGAGCGGGCCGCGCAGCCGACGACCGCGCCGAGGGAGGCGCCCACGCGGCCCTTTGTGGGGGACGCGTCGGCTGGGGGACCAGGTGGCCCAAGTGGTGGCGGAGTGGGTGCTTCCACCTTCCTTCACTGGAGGAGGAGGAGGAGGAGGAGGAGGAGGAGGAGGAGGAGGAGGATTTTTTTTTTTGACATCCACTCATCTCCCTCTAAGTCAGACCCCGAGCGCCACGAGCTCCGCGAGCAACAGCACCACGAGCAACGCGAACAACGGACCTCCGAGACGGCGAGCAGCAACGAGGGGGGGTACAGCTCGCACCGCACAGGCGCCCGCGGGCTTCCAGCACAGCATGCCGCAAAACGCCTCCGCGGCGACGTCGTCAACGCCGACGCCGTCCGTGAAGAGGAGGACCACGGCCTCCCTCAGCAAGCCCGCCGCCACGCGCAGCAAGCTCCCGCTCCAAGAGCCCGACCATGGTGTGCAGCTCGGCGTCGCTGAGAGGTGCGCAGTCCGTGATGCGGTGGCCCAGGCGACTCGAGAGGTCGGCGGCGCGCTGCGCGAGCCGAACACGCGCATCGCTCTTGTCCTTGCCCGCGCCGCCCTTGACCTCGCCCTTGTCCCTGCCTTTGCCAGAGCCAAAGCCGCCCGCGCGGCGAGGACGCCCATGCACGATAGGCAAGGCATCCGCCCAATCGTCGGGCGGCAACTCCATGGCGACGTCAACGGCCCCCTGTGCCGCCGCCGCCCCTGCAGCCGCACCGCCATCCATCTCCGCGACGATGGCCACCTCCTCCTCCAGGGACTTCTCCTCCACGACGTCCATCTTCTCGTACTGCTCGTCCGCCTCCTTCAGACCTCCGCGGCCGCGCGGGCGTCGGCGCCGCAGCACCTTCGGGGGGCCCCCGTGGTCGACGGCGGGGGAGGCGGGCGGCGTGCCGAGCTCGGCGACCGCCGTGCGGAGGAGCCCCTCCGCCGCCCGCAGGAGCCGCGCCGCGGAGCGCAACCCTCCCGCGGTGGCGAGCTCGGCAGCGGCGTGGACCGCCAGGACGGCCCCCCTGGAGGCCTCCAGCGCGTTCGCCGTGCGGGCGTCCTTCGCACCTGGCATCTGGGCGCGCGGCGGCGGGGCCTGCGAGCGCGCGACCGTGAGCCAAAACGGGTACTGAGGAGGAGGAGGAGGAGGAGGAGGAAGAGGAAGAGGAGGAGGAGGAGGAGGAGGAGGAGGAGGAGGAGGAGGAGGAGGGGAGGAGGGAGGAGGGAGGAGGAGGAGGAGGAGGGGTGGGGAGAGGAGGAGGAGGAGGAGGAGGAGGAGGAGGAGGAGGAGGAGGGAGGAGGAGGAGGAGGAGGAGGAGGAGGAGGAGGAGGAGGAGGAGGAGGAGGAGGAGGATGGGGACATCCAGGTGCATGTGGCCGCCGGTCTCACTACCGTTCTGCCCTCCCTTCCAGAGCGGTCGCTACAGGGTCCCAGTGGAGGTTCAATAATGATCTTCGTGTCGGCTGGATTCTTCTAAGGGGGAATCTCTAGGACCCACCTTGGATGCTGCGAGATCCCATATACTCCCTCCGTTTGAAGTCGCCAGCCCCCTTTCTTTGAGATCCGGGAGTCCCAATCCCGCGCTCGCCCGCTCGTGGATGGTGCGTCCCAGGCACAGGTCGTGGTGCGTCCCAGGGGTGCCCCTGATGCATTCCGTAGGTGCCCGCTTGAGGACGTGTCAGGACGCGCACTTATCCAGAGGAGGGGAAGCTACCGATACCGCTACCCTGCCCTTGTTTTCGTCTTCTGGGCCTTTTGGGACACCTTCGTCGCCACTGGTGGATTCGCCTCGAACTTCTGGCCAGAATGCGCCCTGGGAGGTCCAGGGAGTCGCGGTATCGGTGCCGTTTGGTTTTCCCTCTAACGAAGTCCCGAATAGTTTGAAGTCCCCCCGCCGCCCGCTCCTCCCCTCGTCGGCCGCCCTGTCTCATTTTGTGTTGTTTCCTATTGCCGGCACAACAGGCGCCTCCATGCTCTTGCCCTTACGTCCAGTTTGACAGAGGCCACATCCATCCCTACCACATCGTCTTCTTCATCTTCCTCATCAGCAACGTAGGCGGCGCATTGACCCCCATAGGAGATCCACCACTATTCTTATGTCGGGCGCGTCCCCCTACAGTCGGATTTTTTCGACGACAAATAAAAAGTACCCCGAAAATACACCAAAATGGTCCAAACATATTCCAAACATAGTCCCTAGACTATCTTTGGACTTTTTTGGGGATTATTTTTGGGGTACTTTTTATTTTTCGTTGACAATCCCCCTGTAGGGGGACAGGCCCGACTTATCACTGTTCTTAGGCTTTGTAAAAGGCACCCCCTTTCATTGGACCTTACACCACAATCGAGTCCCATGGCTGGTAGCCGTCCTCGCATTTTGTTTCGTTCTCCCCTGTTGCAGTGCGCGATCTCCATCCAGAGCCCCTGGGCCGCTCGACAGGCCCGCGCGCTCGCCATGTCCGCGCCAACCAGAATCGGGCGCGCACCCGGGGACGTGTCGGGGAGCGTGTTCAGAGGCTTGACGCCGGACGCCCAGCACCACCTGCGCTCCCCAGGCGCAGCTCAGGAGCGGCCAGCTTCGGCTGCAGCCCGATCTGGAGCCCGTGGCCCTCCAGGCCGCCGCCGTCGGCGGGCTGCATCCGGGCGCAGACCTGGCGCTGCCAGGAAGGCGGAAGAGTTGCCGCGCCCGCCGTAGCCATTTTGGCTCAAGACGGAGCTTACCTCCCGTCCCGACTCCAGAGGCTCGAGGCTGAGGTGGAAGGGCAGCCCCTTCCATTGGCCTGGCTGCCTCAGCTAAGCGTTCAGTGAGCACCTGGCGGTGCAACCCTTTCGACCCTCGGCGCTCCGAGGGACACGGTCGCGGGCACAGCGGTGCGGCGGCCTTCATGGATGGTGCAGATGTGGTCCGTGGCCCCAAGACCCCGTTCTGGGGCTGCCAGAGTTGCGGGCTCACCAGCAACTGGGCGTGCAGGCTGCGGTGCCGCTGCGGGGCGAAGGCCCCCGCGTTCGTGCTGCAGCGCGCCAAGGCCTTTGGCAACGGCGGCGGGAGCCCTACTCGGCTGGATCCTGGGCGCAGCCGTCCACCTGCTGCAGGGTCAAGGCGCGAGGCCAAACTGGAGTCCCAGCTGGCCGAGATGCAGAAGAAGCTGGACCAGTTCATCGGTGGAGTCGCCAAGCCTGCCCGAGCCCCTACGGTTGGACAAGGGCCTGGTCAGCATGGTGGCACACAGTCCAATGGAGGAGGCGGTGGTGACGGACAGGATCCACTACAGGCACGTGTGCTCGAGCTCGAGTGTGCGATTAAGGCCTGTGGCAAAAGTGACGACACAACCGAGGCACGGACGCTCCTTGAGAACAAGCTCAAGACGGTGCGCTCGGAGATCGAGAGCAAGAAGCCGAGCATCACGCAGCACACCAATGTGGGACATCGATTGGCTCGGGCTACGACGAAGATGGAGAAGGTCACGACAGAGCTTGAGGAGCATAACAAGTTGCTCGACGAGCTCAATGCCAAGACGGACGAGATCAAGGCGCGCAAGGTCGCAGCGGAGGCAGAGGTGGCTGAACTGCAACGGCAGCATGTGCAGTCACTTCCTGGTCAAGCTGCTGATGGTGGTGACAAGCGGCTGGTTGATCTGTCTCTCCCCCCTGAGGCCCTGGAAGGCAAAGACGCGATCAAGTCGATGCTGGAAACGGCCGAGTTTAAGGAGTTCGTTAAGTTGTTCGCTGTGCATCGTGCTGCTGCTGGTCCTGGCGCTGATGCATCTAAGTCCCACGTCAACGGCGCTGAGCACGTGCCCACGCCACACGACGCTGAGATGGACGATGCCTTCCAAGACGAAGCAGCTGCCGAGGCTTTCTGGGAGAAGCACCGTGGCGATAAGCGGGCCTTCACCCAAGCCCTTTTGGGCGCCAAGCTCAAGAAGCCGAAGACCGCGCCGCAGCTTTAACCACTACCCTTCCTGGGCTAGGTGGCATGGCTCGACGAGGCCGATGGCGAGCTCCTCATCCAAACCTTTTGCTTCACGCAGGGAGAAAAACCATACCTCAGGTTCTACGGGATCTGAGGGTGTCAGACGCAAGCCAGATGCTCCTGGCGACGTGCTTCATCAGAGACAGGCTGCTGACGATCAAGTGTCAGATGTTTCCCAAGCCTTACCGGGTGACGCTGTGCATTTCTTCGGGGTTACTTGTGACGAGAAGTGGCTCAGGCTACAGACGTTCGAGGACCTGAAGGCTTTGTGGTACCTGTTGGACGTGCTGCAGTGCGGCCAGGGCATCAACTTCGGCGAGTTCGACGAGGCGCGAGTCGTCAGGCACACCGGCGTGCCCGAGCTTCTGAGGCCTCCTGAGTCCCCGCAGCCACCAGTTTGTTTGACGGTGCCCGTGTGCGGCCCCGCCTGGGGCCCAAGTGCACTGGTTTGCGTGTCTCGGCCCACGGAGTAGGCTCACCGCCTAAAGCCGCCGCCCCTGCTGACCTGGATGGTCAGGCGCACGTGTTTGAATCGTATATTGGTAACAGCTGGGGCACTCTCAAGAAGAGACTGATGAGCACACAGGCTCTTGTGGTGTTTGCACAGGAAATAGGTATTACCGAAGAGGATCTTGCGGCGAGAACTTCGACAGCTAAGAGTTTCGGCTGGAACATGCTCTGTGCCTCTTCGGTCAAGTGTGCGGGTGGTCAGACGTCGGCTGGAGTAGCCATGCTGGCAAGAACGTCTATCGGCCTGAGGTGGCCCACTAAGTTGCCCAGAGGTATACTTATCCAACACAGGCTGGTCTTTGCTACGATCGACATTCCAGGGTGGCCCGAGTTGCTAGCAGGTTGCGCGTACATGTTCACCAGTGAGGGTCTGAGCAAGCGGAACCTCCAGATTTTAAGACACGCAGGTGCAGTCTTAGAAGGTGTACATCTCTCGGTGTTGGCTGCTGATTGGAATTTCTCAGCCGAAGTTGCAGAGGCGTCTGGCATGCCTCGCAAGGCCTCCATGATGATTTTGCAGCCCAGTAT